TAGTTAATTATATATATTCAAAAAAGCGAATCAAAATAAAGTTTCAAAATAATAAATATATTTGAACGAAGCGAATTATCTCAGGCACCCCCTCTTATGCCCATCTATAGGACCCCCTATTTATGGGGAAAACAAGTGCACCATCGTGTAGAGCGTAAAATTTTACATCGAATAAGATATATTTCATTATCCCGTTATTGTAAATATTATTTACAACAATAACAATTAAAATTTATGTAAATCTTAAAAGGCGAAGCCATTGCTATTCAGCGCGCACAGCTCTCATAGCTCGTAATTTGTTTGTCTGCATTGGCGGATAGCGGCTAGTGGCCATCAGCTTTTAAATCTACATTCAGAGAATTTTAGCGTTAAAGAATTTGTCAGTTTATATGTGTGTGTTTATGGGTCAAATCGCGCCGGATAATTTATTATTTTCCGATTTGACATCCAAATGATTCTCGAAAAAAATACTGACCTCAAAAACGATTCCGATGTAAATTTCACGTTGAATTCATTTCCGTCGCCAAAAAATTATGTATCATTAAAATTAAATGAATTATAATAATAATCCTGTATTACTATAATCTGTAGGAATAATCCTGTCGCTGGCCTTTTGGATTAGCGTCGTAGGCTTCGTAAAGAATCCGTGAGGGCGGAGGTGAGGCCACACACATATGTGCACCAGCGAACGCACCGTATAAGCTTTCCAACAACGAGTAGACGAGCGCAAGCGGTTACAAGGACAGAGTGCTCGATTGCAGCGTTTGAGTGTCGCAAAATCTCCTGCCAGACTGACGCTCCTTGTGAAAAAATTGTTAACTCAAAAGAAGGGGCGGTGACAAAATGAGTGGGAAAATTTCCCTCTCTTCCACTTGGGTCCTCGGGTTGTCCGATTGGCTTATCACAAGAGAGGACGTAAGATGTAGTTCGCGCGGGTCCCTCAGCTACCTGTAGCGATGACGCGAACTCTCCTTTTAGACGATGCAGTGCGGTGCTCGGACGGCCGACATTTGGGTTTGCCCCATTCGTGTTGACATGACTTCTCCTTGCCACGAGCGTGTATCCATCACGAGACGCTTCTTGGGGCAGTATTAGGCGATGGCCCCTCTCAGCTTAAATAGCGATATGGACTTACGTTTCATTTACACCGGAAATACATATGTTTGCAGAATATGCCAATAACTTCATCATTTACATCGTAATATTTTCGTAATCATCTTTATTTTACTTATAAACTATTACCCTAACGATCAATATGGATTGCTGGCGTCAACTTTGGCTCAGTGGCGTTGCATCTCAAAATTTTTATAATTTTTATTTATAGTTGTAAGCGCTATTTACAACAACGAGGTAGTGAAATACATCTTATTCGATGTAAAATTTTACACTCTACACGACGGTGTACTTTTTTCTCCTTAAATACTACATTTTCAAATAAAACACGTAAAACGAAATTTTTTCTATTTTCTTCAACTTGCCACCGGTTTAGAAAAAAAAAATTGCATATTTTTGTTCCTGAAGATCAAACGTCCCTTAGCACCGTGTTGGTAATATTTTCGCGACATTTTTAAATCCGACTACTATTTGACTGGGCTACAGCCTATTGGCCAAGGGTTATGTGCTAGCCCTTTTCGTATAGGGGGGCCCGACTGTCTGGTAACTATGTACGTTCCGCGGGGACTACAGCCTCCACGACTAACCCCGTAGCTGTAACTTGACTATACATCAATGATGCACAATGCTCTAGTACACGTCAATAGATCGAGCTCAGAACATCGAGAGACATAGACGCATACGTTGATAGAGTCGTATCTACAATTTCTCACAGCATGTTATACAATCAATTACAGTTACGACTTACACCACCCCCAAATCAGCCCCGGAAAATAATCAATATAAAAAAAAGTTAATTTTCAATAGAGTTGAATTTGCTCAGTTTAGCTATGTTGGCCAAATAATTTGGTCGCACTACATTTTCCAAAAAAAAAATATATGAAAGTGTTTCTTTTATTATCATAAGAAATTTTGTCCCGTTATAATATATTTGAAAAGTACATTCTTTTTTATAAAGAAATGTAATAATGTAATTGGCATCGTAAGTAATTCAAATAGTCGTCTTGCACATGCGTTAATTTACGGAGTTGGCTGTGGCTGCTGATTAGTGTATATATATTATTTAAATTTCTTTATAAAAATAATGAACTTTTCAAATATATTATAACGGGCCAATTTTTTGGTAATAGTGAGCAATTTTTTAAGATCTGCGACGGGGGAGAGGGAGGGGAAAAATAAAAGACGGTATTTCTCCTGATCTCGCGCTGTCGCCAGCGGCGCGCAGTCAGCCGAGACGACGTGTGCAGCTTTATTTTATTGAGTTGGGCGCCAGCTACCGTGCTCTCGCGTTAGGAGAACGTGGTAGCGCTGCAACGTCGGCTGGTTCTCGGCTCGGTGGTCCTGCTGGTCGCTGTGAGGTCGGGTGGTTTCCCCGTCGCCTCCCTCCTTGTCGCCGTCGGTGTTCTTGCGCGCGTGGCCGACTATCACCTGTGGAGGATGAAGCAGGGGCGCGAAGTCCTAGGCGACGATTCGGTCAAGTCTAAAGCGGAAAGACGTATCGAGCGAAAGGGGAAAGGGGGGCAACGGGTGGTTTCCAAGGCCACCCACGGCTGCGGCTCGTTCGGCTAGCTAGATGTTTCGGGGCATGGCGGCTCTCAATCCCAGAAGCGGGTACATCGAGGGGGGCGTCGCAGGGGCGCTCCGGTTGGCGGCTAGTGGTTCGGGGGATGATGACTCCTTCCCTGGACTGGTGGCGTAGTGGCTGCGACGGTGGCTATCGGTTGAGCGGTGATCAGGGCAGTCGGGAATTCGCGCACGCGTTTACCGATCTCAAACCGGTCGCGAAAGCTACGGGGGATGGGGCGATCAAGTGGGTGTAGTCAATAATAAGTCGGATATAAAGAAAATTCGGATTTATTATGCAAAAGAAACCCAGGTCTACCCCAGTGGTCTACCCCTAGCGATGGTCAGCCTGGTCTAGATTACTGGGGGAACGCGGGTGGCGTACTACGGCGCGAAGTCAGCTTAGACGGACAATAACTCGGTTGAATGTTTCGGGCTTCGGCTATGATTCGAATACGTAACGTCGGTTTATCTATTCGCGGCGAAAATTCCAGCTCGTTCAAAACAATTGCGCTCAGGAATTCGGTCGGTCGCGCGAAGGTTGACTACCATTCGCGGTGTTGACGTTACGTATAGCGATGCTTGCGAACAAAATAAAGGCGACGATGTACCTGAGTTTTGCCGGTCGGATGAAGGTCTAACGCGACTCGTGTGATGTTTGGATCGACTCGGAAAGGAATTTCAAGGGCGCACACTCAGAAAACTCGTTGCACGGTTGATAGCAACACGGCGACTCGAAACTATTCCCGAAAGGTCGGTGGCAAAACCATATAAAGCAACGGTGACGGGCGCGCGAAGGTCATGCGGGGTTCCGCGCGCGAACATTCGGCGGTCAGGCGACTATTTCAGGTGCGGGACAAAGAACGACGTGACAAAAAAAAACTTGGGGATAACGGCAAACGTTTTCGGTCAAGGCGTAATGCGCGCGGAGGTCATGCGGCACTCCCGAAAACGCGGCGGTCGGCAATGCGCGACAAACTCGCGGTTATCATTCATGCAAAGAAATCGGCAGTAAAAGGGTACTTACTCCTGGTAGATTTTGGCCGATTAATGCTCTGTTTGTTATCGTTATTCCGCTATTTTATCCTGTTATCGTTATTATCGTTATTTTATCCTGTTATCGTTATTATCGTTATTATCTATTATCGTTCTTCTGTTATGCCTATTTCTCTCAATATCTTTTGTACTATTTTCACTTTCACTATCTCTTGCCTACCTCCTTCACTATTTCTTTCGTATTCACTCTCGCTTTTCTTTCCCCTCTTTTTTTTTGTTTCCACTTTTCACTTCTACTTTCTTTTCTAATTCTCACTCCTGCTTCTTTCTAATTCTCACTTCTGTTTCTTTTCTAATTCTCACTTCTGCCTCTATTCTAATTCTCACTTCTGCTTCTATTCTAATTCTCACTTCTGCTTCTATTCTAATTTCTGCGTACCGCGCAACGGCGAGGCTCGGCGGACTTCCTACCGTCGAGGCTTAACGGTTACTGGCGCGCCGTTTTTCGGCGACGCACCGCTTCTCCTAGTTTACTTCCCCTTCGTTGTTGCCGATTGGCTAGCTTGTTGCTAAGCCAGGTCTCAGCGCCGTCTATATTAACGTTTTTTTACCCGCGCAATTTATTTATTGGTCGGTCCTTCGCGCCTAATTTGCCTACTGGCCGCGAAGATAGCGTCGGTTTTCCCTCATTAGTTCGACCACCCCTAAGCTGATAACGATTGGTCAGTCAACTAGCGTCGCTTGTCTATCTTCTTCTATCTACCGCTCGTTGGTCTTACCGATTCCCCTCGCTCGCTTCCGATCGGTCTAGCATCGGCGGTCTCGCTCGCTCTCACGCGCTCGGTCGCTCCTACCTTTAGTCTAGCTAGGCCTGCCTTAACTAACGGGGGCTTGCGATCAGCTGATCGCGACTGAAAACTTTAGGGGCTTCTAGCTCCCCGGGGGAGGGTCGGATCGGGTCGTGAGTGCGCGAGGGGTTGTACGCGAGCGTAAGGGTCGTGCGAATCGGTCAGGGAGGTTTCTAGAGGTCGTAGTTCGCGAGATCCGGGAGTGCGTGGGCGGGTGTATGTAGTCGTGGCTGTTCTGTCATAGTGCCGGTAATATATATTTGTGTGTGATGACGCATCATCACATAGCCCCCCACTAATCCGGTGCATACACATGCACCGTGATTCGTCGGTCATCGCGGGTCTACTGATGATCTGCTCACACCTGGTCCTCGGCTACTGATTTAGTGACCTGAAAGGGGGTGTTTAAGGGATCGGATTAGGGTTAAATAAGAGTAGTCAGATGTGATTAATAGGCCCGGAGGCCGCGGTTTATTATTCTTAATCGCTACTGGATTCTCTGCCCCGATTCAAACTGCGGTTTCTTCTAACCTTCTCTAAATTTCGGCGTTCTGCCGCGGCCATAGCCTCCACGGCTTGACGAAGTTTATCCAGTTCCCTCAGGCGGTCCTCGATGTCTTGTGCGGCTTCAATGTGCGGTCGGCTGTGGCTGGGGTTGTGACGGTTCTGGCGTCTATATTCAGGGGGGCGTGGGATAGCGCCGGTTGATGGCCCCGGTCGATTAATGGTGGCTGGTTGCACCACTTCGTCGTAGGAGGGAGGTGGGGCCTCTGGATGTGCCACGTGGTGCGTCAGTCGGCCCGCGGTTGTCCTGTCCTGGCGATGCCAATATTCCTCTGCGCATCTTGGGCAGTTTTCGACCCCCACCCCTCTCCGGCCACAGTTGCCGCAATATTGGTTGGCTTCCGTTGGACGCGGGCAGGTCCGGTAGCTGTGTCCGGGCATCCAGCAGTTAAAGCAACTGCGGCCAGGAGGGTCTATGGTCGGGTCTGTAGGGATGGCTCTTAGATTTCCGAAGCCTGCTCCGGTATCTCTGGGGCGGGCTTCGTAATTTATCCAGGGGCGGATGCCTCGAGGTGGTGATGTGCGGGTTGGGGGACCTGGTTCGTCGCTGGATGCGTCCGAACGGTCCATCACGCTCACCAGGTCATTATATTCCAGGTGCCTCCGAAGGTTGTATCTTCTCCTCCGGCCATTTTCCCCCCTTATCCTCCTTTCCTCGATTCCGCGGATTAGGGTGGCCCTATCGTCCGTGTTTGTGACCGGTAACCATCCCGGGTGAGGATGGTGTTGCGACGATCTCTCGGTTTGGCTCGGTTTCGGGTCCTCCTGGCTATCCTCGGGCTGGTCTCCCCCCCGGATAGCAGGGACTACCGTCGCTCTCGTGGTCTCCGGGGTCGGGTCTCGGCTGGTCGGTCTGGTTTCGTCCGTGGGGCTATCTAATCCTTCTCCTCTTGTAAGGAGGACTATTCCCGACTCGTCTGAGCTCTGGCCGCTTCCTGAAGGTTGGTTTCCACCCGTTTTCTCGATGAGGCCTGCCAGGTGGAATATTTTTTGGTCGGCTGCAGTTTGTTCCGCCGGGGGAACCAGGGCCGCTACCCTTTTTGCTGCCAGGGTAAGTCGATCCTGCAGTCCGAGGCGAGCCTTTTCTTTCAAAATCTCCTCCTCTATCTCCATTATATAGGAGGAGGTCGAGAACGAGGGGGATGGCGCTGTTGCCCTCTGGTCTTGTCGGTCGTGGTCATCTTCCTCATCTGAGGATATAATGACGAGCTCTGGTTTGGGTGGTGGGCCGTCCTCTGTTGGCCGGAATTCCAATTCTGGCCGGTGGTGGAGGGGCCGTCGTGTGCGGGTTCCAAATTTGGGAGGCATGGTCAAGCCTGTAAATCAGAAGGTCTTAGTTTTCGGTCAATAGGGGAGGTCTATTAGTCAAGGTCATCAACCAGCACCAATCGTGCGATGTTAGTCTGGTTAGTTAATTAGTTTGTTACGCGACCTACATCTCCCCCCCCCCCCCTTTGTAAAACTAGAGAGGCTTGTCCTTTCTAGTTCTCGATTCCGCATGATTTTCGGGGCGTGATCTTATTCGTTTAGGTTCTGTGGTCTTAGTTACGCGGTGGTCGTTCGGTAACTAACTTAACATTTACCGGATTTTCTCCTTTATAAGGTTTTAATTGGGTAACGTGGACTTTTCCTATTTCCTTGCCGGACGTATTCTCGATAATGTACACGTTGTCTGATAGCTGTTCCTTTATCCGGAATGGTCCCTCATATTTCTCGGCTAATTTCGCCGAGAATTGGTTAGCCGCATTGGATAGGTGATGAGCTTTTCTCCATACCAGGTCTCCTATTTTGTATTTTGTTGGTCTCCGACCTTTATTATAGCGGTCGGCCATCTGGCTGTGGGCTTGGTCCAGTCGATCTTGAATCGTTTCGCGAAGGTCGTCCAGTTTCTTCAGTCGGTTTACCCATTCATTTGGGTCTGACGCCACTTTAACCTCGGTAGACTCCACCTTGCGGCGTAGGCTCTTTGGGGGCTTTGGTTGTCGTCCGAAGTTTAGAAAGGCTGGTGACGTCCGCGTGGTCGACTGTATTGCCGTGTTTATCGCGTAGCGGAGCTCGTTTAGGTGTTGGTCCCAATCCTTATGGTTGTTGTCGACAAAGGTCGCTATCATGGTCTTTAGTGTACGGTTCGTGCGTTCGACTGGGTTAGCCTGCGGATGGTACGGCACGGTGGTGACGTGCTTGATACCATACTCCTGTAGCATGGTATCTACGCATCTGTTGGCATATTCCTTGCCGTTGTCGGTTAACAGGTAATCCGGGGTCTCCCAGCGAAACAAGATCAACTCCTCGAAAGCTCGGGCCACGTTCTTTCCGTTAGCTGCTCGTACCGGCTTCAGCTCTATCCAACGAGTGAACAGGTCTTGGAACACTAGTAGGTATTTATTCTGGGTCTTGCTCCTGGGGAATTCCATGGTGTCAACTGCAACTACGGCCCATGGTCGGTCGATATTCCGCCGGCCCATTAGGCCTTGAGGTCCTAGTTGGCTGGCTTTATACTTTTGACACTTTTCGCAACGGGTCACGTAGTTGTATACGCTTGAATACATCCCTCTCCAATAGTAGTCGTGAGCAATCCTTAGATAGGTCTTTTCAACCCCTAGGTGGCCAGTCGTTGTCAAGCAGTGGGCATCATACATTATTTGCTGTCTATACTCGTCCGGTACCACAAGCTTCCAGTTAGTCTCTCCGTCGGTGACCGGGTCGGTCGGCTCATCCAGTCGGTGATAGTATAGCATATTGTCCTCGACCTTCCAGTCCGGGAATTTTGCTGGGTTCTGGTTAACATCCCATCGCCGTCGTAGGTACCAGGTGTCTTTGATCAGTTTGAAGGCTGATACGGCATCTGGTCCTGGCGACATTCGTGATAGGGCATCGGGCAGATTATGTAGGTTCCCTTTTCGGTGTTTCACAGTGATTGGCCATTGTTGTAGTTCCAGGATCCAACGGCCTAGGCGACCTTTTGGTTCTTTGTTGTTAAAGAGCCAGGTCAAGGCACTGTGGTCGGTCACTACGGTGAATTCATAGCCTTCTAGATATGGCCTCAGCTTGTTTATCGCGTATATCACTGCCAAGCATTCCTTTTCCGTTACCGAATAATTACGCTCCGGTCCTGTCAGGGATCTGCTGATGTATACTATGGGATGTTCGCCGTCGTCGAATTCTTGACTCAGTACCCCTCCGATGGCGAAATCACTCGCGTCGGTCTGGACGGTGAAAGGTCGACTGAAGTCGGGACGGGCTAATACCGGAGCTTGCGTTAAGGCTTGCTTCAAGGTTTCAAAGGCCAGTTGCTGTTCCGGTCCCCAAGTATACACTTGATTCTTTTTCGTTAGCTTCTGTAGCGGGACTTTAATTTCGGAACAATTCTTGATAAATCGGGAGTACCATTCCACCATTCCTAAAAAGCTCTTCAATTGCGTGACGGTGCGCGGTACTGGGAATTCCAGTACTGGTCTAGTACGGTCTGGATCTGGTCGAAGTCCGTCATGGTCCAGTAGGAATCCCAGGTAGTTGAGGCGAGAGCATCCAAATTCGCATTTCTTAGCGTTGATCTGTAGGCCAGCATCATTGAGTCGTCTGAGGACTAGTTCTAAGAAATGTAGATGGTCATCAAAGCTCTCGGTTGCTATTATGATATCATCCAGGTACGGGAAAACATATGGTTCCCAGTCTGGTCCGAACAGGGCATCAGCCAGTCGTTGAAACGTGGCTGGTGCGTTTACTAGTCCGAAGGGCATTACAACAAACTCCCACAACCCTTCACCAGGGCTTGCGAAAGCTGTGTACTGGCAACTATCTTCCTCTAATGCAATCTGGAAATATGCTTGTCGTAGGTCTATCTTGCTGATGTATCTTGCATGCCTAAGTCGGTCTAATATCGAGTCCATGTTCGGCAGCGGATATGCGTCCTTGCGGGTCACCTTGTTCAGGTCTCTGTAGTCAATGCAGAATCTCCATGTCCCGTCAGGCTTCCGGATCATTACTGGTGCGCTTCTCCAGGCACTCTTGGACGGCCTTATAATGCCTAAATCATACATTCTCTTAATCTCGTCTCGTACAATCTTCTGCACTGCTGGTGACATTCTACGTAGTCCTTGCCTTACTGGTTTCGAATCTCCTATGTCAATCAGATGTTTTACTACGGGTGTACGTCCTAGCTCGTCTGTCTCAGGCGGTAGCAGCCTTTCTATTATTTCATTCAACTTTGCGGTCTGGGCGGTCGTCATTTCGGTCAACCCCGCACATTCCGCAGAGAAGGTTACAAATTCGTGGGGTTTGTGAGGCCTCAAGTGGTGCCATCGCCCCCCACGTACTCTCCATTTCTTGTCCTTAAATAGCAATACCATGTCCCATTCGGTCAAGAAATCTAGTCCAAGGATGATGGGTGGTCCGGTCAGGTTAGTCATAGCTTTGAAGTTGAACCTGGCCGTATGCCCATCGCAGCTCACTTGGAGTGGCAATTCTCCTTCAGTTCGCTCAATGACCCCGGTCACTCCTTGTACCTCACTGAAACGCGGTATAAGTCGGTCTCGGTACCGGGCTGTGATCGAGGGTCCGACGATAGATACTGACGCGCCCGAGTCTATCAGGGCGTCGTATACTATCTTGCCGATAGCGATAGGAATAAACAGACGGTTGTCGCAGTGTGCGCTCTTAACCGAGAGGGTCCCTGGCGTATTTGTAGCCCCATACTGGTCAGTTTCGGACTCGTCTGGTCGATCGGTTAATCCGGCGTCGAATAACGTAGTCTCCCCTGAGCAGTCGGCCGGCCCGCACAGCTGGGTGTCCTCCTCCCTTCGTGGGTTCGCATTTGACTCCGAGTTATTTTTGCTGTCCTCGGGGTCAGCGAAGGTCACCGTCTTTACCTTGGTGCCAGTGTCTGTCCCACCTGGCTCCCAGGGTCCTATCGGTCCTTTCGGCGCCCGTCTCCCTGAGTTGTCATAACTCTCATCAGGGCCAACGGTCATTGCTTCCTGCTGCTTCGTATTCCTGGGGTCTGCATCCATCTGGCCTGACTCCCAGGAATTTGCTTCCCTGTATTTCCCCCTGGGGCCTACACTAGTCTGGCCTGACTCCCAGGGGTACTTGCCTACGTTGCTCATCGTCCCCGGCTCTGAGTTATTTGTGCTGTCCTCAGAGTCGGGCGAATCTTTTCGCTTCTGCATCGCTCTCCTGGGGCCTACTCTAGTCTGGCCTGACCCACAGGAGTTTTCTTCATCACACTTCCCCCTGGGGCCTACATCCATCTGGCCTGACTCCCAGGGGTACTTATTTGCTCTGCTCATCGCTCCCGACTCTGAGTTATTTTTGCTGTCCTCAGAGTCGGGTAGGTTTCCTTTCTTCTGCATCGCTCTCCTGGGGCCTACTCTAGTCTGGCCTGACCCACAGGAATCTTCTTCGCTATCTTTCCCCCTGGGGCCTACTACTATCTGGCCTGACGCCCAGGGGTACTTATTCGCATTGCTTGCTCGCTCTCTTACGGGTCGGTCGCCGGAAATCTGGTCGTTGCTGGGCTTAGGGTCCGATCTTTCCACGGCCCGGTCAGCAGGGTCCAGGTTTTCCAGTTTCCTTTCACTCAGGGGTGGGTACGTTGCGTTCTCCACCCTTGAGTCGGTCGGGACGCACTTGGTCGGAAGTTGCAGGATGAGGGTGTCCGGTGTCTCGAGCGTCCGCAATAATCTGCTTAGAGGCTCGTCATCCGTCCAGAGAGGTCGGTCGATGGGCATGTCTGACTCCTCAGAGCTCGTCTGCAGGGTCAAGTAAGGCGTTTCGACTACGTCCTGGTCCATAGGCCCCAGCTCCGTAGTCGCGTTTCCTCGTCCAGTGCGCCAACTCTCTATTTTCTCATCCTCTTCTCTCCATTGTGCGTCCGTCTCGAAGCCCTTTATCGCAGATTGTCGATGACTCGGGGAAGTAGCGGGCTCGCCTGCTCCCCCGAAGCCTCGTTTCCCAGAAGCCCTGTACGACGATTACTGCAGTTTTTGCAGAAGTCAAAGGGGGCTCCTGGTAATTTGCATACTTGGCAGAACATTCCTCGTGCTTCTCGCGGTCTTTCTCTTGGAAATAGTGCAGCTCGTTTTGGACACTGTCCTGCCATGTGTCCAGGCTCATAACAGAAGTAGCATTTCCGTCTCGGGCATCTTCGATAATCGTGGTCATCCGGGCACGCTCTACATTGGTCAGGCCTATACGGCTGACGGTCTGGCTGGGGCGGCTGAGGGCTGACAGGCGGTCGTAGGGGGAGAATCGAGGGTCGTAACCATCGAGACTCATACCCTTGATCTAGCTGCGAGGGATTCGAGTTCGTTGGGCCGTTCGCAGGTGGAACGGTGACGGTCGGGGGTGTCGGTGGTAGCCCCAAATACTGGTGCGGGTTCATTGACGACATGACCTGAGCTAACATCGGAGCGTCAGGAGGTTCCTTGGGTACCGTGGTCGTGTTGACCTTCACGGGTTCCTTGGTCTTTGGCTTCCTGTCTGGCTTCGGTGTCAGGTCCGGTAAAGTCTCCTGGCTCCGGTTCGGTTCTACCTTATCTGAGCTTATCGAAGAAATCTTGGCCGTTCTTTTGCTGGTCTTCGGGGCCGCTGCTGGGAAACGAGTCTTATTCGACGGAGGATGATACTGTTCATCCATCTCCTCTAGGTTCTCCCATTTTCGCCCATAGTAGGTTAGGTCGCTGAAATGTCGTATGGACTTATCAGCCATATACCTCCTATAAGCTGGTAGCAAGTTGCGCTGGGCAATCTTGATCTGGGTCGAAGTGGAGAGTGGATGTTTAAAGAAGCTCGCGATATGTCGGAAAGCATCGAGGTAGTCGATGATGGTTTCCCCCGGGGCTTGTGATCGACGTCGCAGCTCCTCTTCAATGTCGTCATCGGTCAACCTGCGTCCGTAGTGGTCTCGCAGGGCTCGTTTCAGGTCCTTCCAACAGTGGATTTCTCTGGCCAGGCTACGGTACCAGGATGCGACTTCTTTGGTGAACGTGGACGATATCACGTGCAGTAGGTCGCTGCTGGTCATTCCGGTCCGGGCTTTAACTTCCTCAATCTGTCCGATAAACTCTTCCGGGCCGTCTGATCCGTTATATCTTATCTTCCTGCTTTCCAGTATCCTGATATTCCTCAAATCTCTTTTAGCTACATCATACTCCTCGTAATGCCTGTCTCGCTGTGGGCGCCGTCGGTCCGGACTACTCTGGAGGTCGCTCGAGTATTCGGATTCGCTGGTCTCGGATGCGTAATGTTCAGGCTCACGCCAACGGTCGTGGTCACCCCTATGACGACGGTGTGACTGAACCTTGACGGGTCTGCGGCGGCGGGCTGGACTGTCTCGTTCACTGCTGCTGTCTGATTCTGAAGACGAATCCCTATTCCGATGGGAGTGTCTTGAGTGTCGGTCAGTTCTCTCAGGCCTACATCTTCGACCGCGGCTTTCATGCCTTTGATGTACTCGTGGCTTCGGTGAATCGTGGTCGCGGCAGTGGGCCTTTCCATGTGGTCGCACAGGGCTCGAGCTCACTTGCTTCGACCTAGACTTGCCAGAGCGGGTCGATTTCGTTGGCCGTCTGATAGTCCGATCAGGGGATCTGCAGTCAGTGGTGTGCGATCCATTGCCGCGTTTGTCGCTACGTCGGTCCGGACTCGAATGCCTAGTGTGTCTATGCCTATACTGTTTCGAAGAGGGTCTACGCGGGGACGTCCTCCTATCGCTCTCACTGGCCGTATCATCTGATGATAAGGCAGCCATACAAGTGGAGGTCCTGGTCTGGCGATGCGAACTGGTGAGCCGATCTTCACTAGGACGCAGCTGTCTACTGCACGATGTCCTGGATTTCTCTTGCCCATTTTCGGTCAGGTTACCCTTACGACAGGTTCCTGGTTCAGCTGACAGGTCCATTCGGTCCTCTTCCGCCAGTTGAAGCAAAGATCGGTTCAGGTCAACCCTCCTAAGAGACTCTTCGCCCCGACCAATCCCTCGGCTCTCCCTAATGGCTGGCTCGTCGGTATCGGTCCCTCGGTCTACCCCTCTTGATTCAGCAACACCTTTCTTCGTTCTTGTAACTCGGCGAATGGTTCCGGTGCGTTCCGAAAGCTCCAAATGTATCTCGGGTTGGTCGGCTGCTCCATGCGGCGGTATCCTTCGAGTATTTCTGCCCTTCTTGGCCGGCTGTTCTATGACAGCGTCGGCCTTCTTGTGATTGCGCGCTCCACTGATCGCTGAGGCTTGTTGGGTCCGTTTGGACCGCCGTAATCTTCCTGTCGGATCGGCTGTGTCATCCTCTGAGGTACTCGGATCAACTAGGTCGGACGGTTCAGCTTGACTTGGTATTTTAGAAAGCGGGCGGACTTTAAACGCCTTCGTTCCTGATCTGGCGTTTTGGTCGTGTTCGCTTTCTTCGATAGCCTTAGCAACTTTGGATTTTGGGCGACTTCGTCCTTCCGCTGCTGTGGATTCCGATTGGTGCGTTTGGGCATCACTACTGGTCTCCACAGGACGCCATAATACTGTACAATACGTTGGGAAGGTGCTAAGGTGTAGGGATCCTTTGATTCGTTGGTCCGGTTTTACCCGCTCCTCCCGCAGACGGTACCGCAGGTACTCCAGGCGGTCAACGTCAGGTAGTCCAGTGATAGGGAGTCCAAGTCGCTCCATTTCCCCATGTACTTCGTCAAGCGTCATCTCCTTAATCGTCACAGCTATTTCTCGTCCAGCATGTGATTTCTTAAGGGTGTCCCACATCCTCAGGTTGTCCCATGGCTGGTCCTCGGATCCTTCAAAGGTGTCCATGTCCTCGGTCCTGGTGGTCGGTACTCCTGTACTTGCGTTGGATGTCATTCTGCGCCAAGCAGCTAATGCGTTAAGCACTGTGGTTTCCTGGTTTAATACTCGGTTTAATCTAGTTATCACTGAAGGGGTTAATTCCAGTTGAGGTCTATTACTGAGTTCTACGGTCGCGAGGTCATTCGGTTCCCGAAGGTCAGGCTTATCCTTACTGGCCAGTTCGACTGGTCAGGCTTGGTCCCACTCCACGTTCGGAGTAAAGTCCAATCGGGATTTGCTACCCGGGACAGAATATCGCGAGGTCGTACGAATCCAGCGGTCAAACCCCTAATCAACGACCTATCCAAGGTCGGTCAATAACTGGTTTCGAGCCCTTAGCTAAACAAAAGGTCTAGCCAAATACTCTCGCAGGTCTACCACAGAGAATCTTCCCAACGCAAACACAGGGGATATAAAGGTCCCAGGTCAGGCCCAACAATCGCGATTTTCTTAAAATTTACCCGGACAACTTACAATTATTATTCGGTCAGCCCACACATAGGTTAGTGAATTATTAGTTAGCAGCATAAGTATATATATAAACACAAATAATCACATATACATCGCATATAATCACAAGCACATCGCATATAGTCGCATGTAATCGCTAAATTCATTAACTTATTCGCTTCCGATTATTGTCTTATTCGCGGTCGCGGTACGCCACTTGGTCGGATCGGGGGTAGGGGTGTTGCCCTAGCCACTAATCGTCAGTTAACTTGATGGCGTGGGCCCCACGTTGGGCGCCATTTGCGACGGGGGAGAGGGAGGGGAAAAATAAAAGACGGTATTTCTCCTGATCTCGCGCTGTCGCCAGCGGCGCGCAGTCAGCCGAGACGACGTGTGCAGCTTTATTTTATTGAGTTGGGCGCCAGCTACCGTGCTCTCGCGTTAGGAGAACGTGGTAGCGCTGCAACGTCGGCTGGTTCTCGGCTCGGTGGTCCTGCTGGTCGCTGTGAGGTCGGGTGGTTTCCCCGTCGCCTCCCTCCTTGTCGCCGTCGGTGTTCTTGCGCGCGTGGCCGACTATCACCTGTGGAGGATGAAGCAGGGGCGCGAAGTCCTAGGCGACGATTCGGTCAAGTCTAAAGCGGAAAGACGTATCGAGCGAAAGGGGAAAGGGGGGCAACGGGTGGTTTCCAAGGCCACCCACGGCTGCGGCTCGTTCGGCTAGCTAGATGTTTCGGGGCATGGCGGCTCTCAATCCCAGAAGCGGGTACATCGAGGGGGGCGTCGCAGGGGCGCTCCGGTTGGCGGCTAGTGGTTCGGGGGATGATGACTCCTTCCCTGGACTGGTGGCGTAGTGGCTGCGACGGTGGCTATCGGTTGAGCGGTGATCAGGGCAGTCGGGAATTCGCGCACGCGTTTACCGATCTCAAACCGGTCGCGAAAGCTACGGGGGATGGGGCGATCAAGTGGGTGTAGTCAATAATAAGTCGGATATAAAGAAAATTCGGATTTATTATGCAAAAGAAACCCAGGTCTACCCCAGTGGTCTACCCCTAGCGATGGTCAGCCTGGTCTAGATTACTGGGGGAACGCGGGTGGCGTACTACGGCGCGAAGTCAGCTTAGACGGACAATAACTCGGTTGAATGTTTCGGGCTTCGGCTATGATTCGAATACGTAACGTCGGTTTATCTATTCGCGGCGAAAATTCCAGCTCGTTCAAAACAATTGCGCTCAGGAATTCGGTCGGTCGCGCGAAGGTTGACTACCATTCGCGGTGTTGACGTTACGTATAGCGATGCTTGCGAACAAAATAAAGGCGACGATGTACCTGAGTTTTGCCGGTCGGATGAAGGTCTAACGCGACTCGTGTGATGTTTGGATCGACTCGGAAAGGAATTTCAAGGGCGCACACTCAGAAAACTCGTTGCACGGTTGATAGCAACACGGCGACTCGAAACTATTCCCGAAAGGTCGGTGGCAAAACCATATAAAGCAACGGTGACGGGCGCGCGAAGGTCATGCGGGGTTCCGCGCGCGAACATTCGGCGGTCAGGCGACTATTTCAGGTGCGGGACAAAGAACGACGTGACAAAAAAAAACTTGGGGATAACGGCAAACGTTTTCGGTCAAGGCGTAATGCGCGCGGAGGTCATGCGGCACTCCCGAAAACGCGGCGGTCGGCAATGCGCGACAAACTCGCGGTTATCATTCATGCAAAGAAATCGGCAGTAAAAGGGTACTTACTCCTGGTAGATTTTGGCCGATTAATGCTCTGTTTGTTATCGTTATTCCGCTATTTTATCCTGTTATCGTTATTATCGTTATTTTATCCTGTTATCGTTATTATCGTTATTATCTATTATCGTTCTTCTGTTATGCCTATTTCTCTCAATATCTTTTGTACTATTTTCACTTTCACTATCTCTTGCCTACCTCCTTCACTATTTCTTTCGTATTCACTCTCGCTTTTCTTTCCCCTCTTTTTTTTTGTTTCCACTTTTCACTTCTACTTTCTTTTCTAATTCTCACTCCTGCTTCTTTCTAATTCTCACTTCTGTTTCTTTTCTAATTCTCACTTCTGCCTCTATTCTAATTCTCACTTCTGCTTCTATTCTAATTCTCACTTCTGCTTCTATTCTAATTTCTGCGTACCGCGCAACGGCGAGGCTCGGCGGACTTCCTACCGTCGAGGCTTAACGGTTACTGGCGCGCCGTTTTTCGGCGACGCACCGCTTCTCCTAGTTTACTTCCCCTTCGTTGTTGCCGATTGGCTAGCTTGTTGCTAAGCCAGGTCTCAGCGCCGTCTATATTAACGTTTTTTTACCCGCGCAATTTATTTATTGGTCGGTCCTTCGCGCCTAATTTGCCTACTGGCCGCGAAGATAGCGTCGGTTTTCCCTCATTAGTTCGACCACCCCTAAGCTGATAACGATTGGTCAGTCAACTAGCGTCGCTTGTCTATCTTCTTCTATCTACCGCTCGTTGGTCTTACCGATTCCCCTCGCTCGCTTCCGATCGGTCTAGCATCGGCGGTCTCGCTCGCTCTCACGCGCTCGGTCGCTCCTACCTTTAGTCTAGCTAGGCCTGCCTTAACTAACGGGGGCTTGCGATCAGCTGATCGCGACTGAAAACTTTAGGGGCTTCTAGCTCCCCGGGGGAGGGTCGGATCGGGTCGTGAGTGCGCGAGGGGTTGTACGCGAGCGTAAGGGTCGTGCGAATCGGTCAGGGAGGTTTCTAGAGGTCGTAGTTCGCGAGATCCGGGAGTGCGTGGGCGGGTGTATGTAGTCGTGGCTGTTCTGTCATAGTGCCGGTAATATATATTTGTGTGTGATGACGCATCATCACAGATCTTAGGATTGAACAAATATTGATATTTCAACAAGATATTATCGTTTAAAGTTTGTGTAAAAGAGAAACATTTTCATATATATATTTTTTTTTTGGAAAATGTAATGTGAGCAAAAAAAGCCAACATAGATGAACGCGATAAACTCGACTCTTTTGAAAATTTTTTTTTTATTATGAGTATTTTCCGGGGTGAATATGAGGGTGGTACGTCTTACAGCACTCATTCAGTCCTTTACAAATGTCCATCCTTATTTCCTAATAACATAGATAGTCACAATTCATATTTTTTCGTATCTTTTTTTACGAGTACTATGCTTGCAAATCTTTCTACACGGCCACCCTTGAGAACAGCTGCATTTTTTTTTCTTTTTGTTTACTACGCAGCTTAAACTCTCACGCCCATTTTGTAACTTCTTACAATAGCCACTATCGTAGGGCGTAAATTACAAACACATGTGCGCTGCATTGTGTTTCTTACAAATGACGTTTACGAGTTTTCTTCGAGTAAGATATCGCCATATAACATCACTCCTCGACCGTTCGAACGTTTTAAATTTTACTATCACTAGGTGTGCCATCTGTTTTCAATGTGTCGAATTCTGGTTATTATGACCAATAGGTCTCAAGTGCACGTCATCGGTGTGTTCTGCAAGTAGGAAAATGAGATTTTTCATAATCGACATTATAAAAGTGTATTCAAACAACTCTTGCCACAAAATTTCGATAATTTGTTTTAATTTATCTTATAAAATTATGCTATACGTTTTTGAGATCAATTTAGTAGCCAATCATTATTGAATATTCTTTGCGTTCTTCTAGCATTTTTTATAAAAAGGTATATTTTATGTCTGCTCTTTCAGTGTTTTTCCAGTCAATATGCTATTATTAAATTATTACCCAACGCTATGTAAATCTTGATTTTGTAAATCTAGATTTATAAGTTGTCAATTGTTTCCAATTACGACTTTTTTAACATTATTATCAGTGTAAGTGTTATACAAGGCTTTTTCTCATCCCTACATAATTGTCATTGCAAACAGCGAAAACGATATTTTTTTTGAAAGAATATAATGTAATAAATGTTGACTGATCTTGAATAGGGAATTAGACTTGTCAAGAATAAACATGTGGCTTCCTCAATGTATTTTATTATCAAAAACAAAATCTCAAAAAAATATGGTTCCTTTTGACATTCAAAGTTTGTTCTTTGCTAATCCTGTTGATAGTTTTTTTGTAACTGTTACATAATTTATTAACACATTAAAAGTCACATTTTCCTAAATAACAGTAAGCTTTCGCTTTCAAATTTCAACGAAATTAATGCTATGTCCATTCAAAGTTCATATCGCAAAATATACTTTGAATTTAAAGAAAAGAGAAACAGCCCGATTATTTGTATGATTTATTTTTGTAAAAGTAATATGTTCATTTAAAGTTTTGGAAACACGTAAATCCGCATAGTGTATATAGAAATTCTACAGTAATTTAAAATTTTAGAATTAATAATAACGTAATTTGAAAGGATACAGTCACATATTTTTGAATTTTCAACTTTAAGAACTATTCCCACGCAAATGTTCTCAAACAATTTTAGTGGTATGAATTCCATCGTAATTTGATACTTACGATGATCTAATTGACTGCCAAATTCAGAGGCTTTCAAAGTATATTTATCTATCCATTTATCATATCGACATAGTTTGATTGCGAAAGCGTTGACCCGAAAAAGGTGCAGACCAACGACATTGACGTAAAACGTTACAATCGTTGCAATTAAACAAACTAACGGTATTTGAATTTGCTAACAAGAGAGTTCTGTTGCAGATATCGTTCGCCCGGTAACAATTTTGACCAATCAATTCCCAAGCGATAAGGAAAACTGTTCATCCAAGGGATAGTATCTGGGTTAACTTTTCTATCAGTGTGACAAACTATAAATCAATTCGTTAAATTGTATTTTTAGGTGCGTAGAGCTGACGCATTTCACTTTCACACTTGGCCCCGGCGAAAATCAAATGAACGCCGCCGCGTTTTGACGGCGCAATATACTCGCGAAACAGCCCCAAGGGAACAAGTAAAGCTGCACGCGAGGCCGACACCCTTGGCTCCTGACCTATTCATGCGCTCGTGTTTATGTCAACGCTCCTTGTAAAAGCATTCGATCTCGTCGATCAATCGGCTAATAAGACCTTTTTGACAAGATTTACAATCTCTTCTAGTTTCATCGCCTATGTGCATTCTTTGTTTACCGAAATAATATTTAAAAAAAAACCTTGATTGAGCAATTTCATTCTACTTTGTGTGATTGAAATAATAAGAAAAAAACCTCCTTTTTTTAAACTTTTTAAAAACTTTTTAAAACTTTTTAACATGATAGTTTTCAGCGTACTGAACTAAAGTCTCCATCGACCAAAGTTTCGAGGACCGTTATTTAGAAAAAAATGATTAGTTGCGTATTTCGATCTAGAGTGACGACAGACAAAGTAAAATACACCTTTTCCTTTATTTTCCAATTACTCATAGATACGAATAACAACAATTCTTGTTGTAATTATTTAAGTGCCAATCAATAAATAACATACAGACTTTGATTGTTTCTTTATTTAATAAATTATGATTCTTTTTATTTCAAAATTTTAACGTAGTATTACTTAAGTAAGGCATTATAGCAAGTAGCTATGCTTTTCATCTGCCAGGTTGAATGATACCGCACAGCACTCCTCGACAGTATTGAAGCATTATTTTATTATTTTATTTTATTATTAGTTAATTTGTCAATAAATATTCTTAAGTCGTTGTCAATCACTCAACGAGTATAGACGTGTATACATTTGCTCATCTAGTATTGACAGTCGAAAAATTTTTACCATCTATAACAATGTACAGAGCTTAGCCCTGCACGTGCGCTGCGATCACGAATGATCAGTGACGTGCAATGAATGGCTCTGCTGGTACAATCCTTCTTCATACAGGCAAAATATCTACAATTAAAAATATTTCAACATTCATAACTAAAGAACCCACTTCAAATTACTCGACCGCCACATAGAAAAATCTCTACCCTAAACGTGATCAAGCTATTATTCTGGATTGCATTGAAGAATTACGTTGACTGACTGCACGTTTACCGTCGACACAATAATCCATTTAAAAAACATTCTTTTCACTTCAAGAATCTTCAACAATCGTATATGTGTATACTTAACCAACCAAGAACTAATATAAAGAATAATATAAATCACAACGAAATATAAATATCTCGCAATTGAACAAAAACAAGTCCCTATCAAACCGCTTGTCTCCAACTTAAAAAAAGTAACTTTCTCCAACGTTTCACCCAGCATTTCTTGGTTCCCGAGTCGACTACATCAAAGCAAATATCAATAAAGATAACTGCAAACATCGGCAGCTTCCGACGTCAAGTCTATGTCAATCCTGACATTGTGAAAAAAATTCCGCAAATCATTAAATTGAATCACAAAGAACTTAACTATTGCACCTTCACAAATACAGATATAATATAATGTTTTTTCCGCAATTTTGTAGGACATATAGCCATATATTCGTAATATTACAATTTACAGATGACGTCAAAAATTTGATTAAATTTATTAAATGAGACATTTATCCAGGCATATCAGAAACATAATCATACATTGTGATGCACTCGCCTATTTAATAAATTGAAAAATCCTAATAATTTAAATGGCAACTCGCAGTTTTCCATTCCGGATAACTGCAACACTGAACTTACATAATATAAATGATCAAAGTATTACAATGGAATTTGAACAAACTGTATAATAATTAAGAATTTCTTCAACAAGTTATTAAGGAAAAAGAATAAAATATGATATATATATAAGAAATTGACTTAAAAACAGATAAAACAGCCAATATAAAATATTTCAGTTCATCGGCAAAAACAAAGTGAACTATAAGCAACTGGAGGACTATGTATTATTAATAGCGA